CTCCCAAAGTGCTAGGATTATAGGCGTGAGCCACTAGCTTGGCCTACATAAACATTTTGACTACAGTTATTCAATCACCTCACTTCAGAATATTATAGTAAATTGCTAAATGGTTATAAAAATAATTAAGAGACACAAACAGATCCAAAAGATGATATCAACTGTGCTTATGAGGGTCTGTAAAGCAGATATTTTTTTAAAAGCTGAAAACTTTAAGTTAACAAAACCTAAGATAAAATTACACTGTCTGGTCTTTATTTCCCTCCTCAGAATTTTTACTGTGTGATTTATTACAAGCAATTTAAACATCACTGGGGAAGGGTGTTACAGAAAAAAAAGATAGGTGAAGTCAATTATTTCTGAAGAAATCCTAGACATCTAGGAGAAAAACAGTGTGACCCACAAAAAAAGGATTACAGGGGCAGAGGAAGTCTTCTGTCGTTTACTTTTTTTTTTTTATTTCGGCATATTATGGGGGTACAGATTTTAAGATTTCAATAAATGCCCATTTCCCCCCTGTCGTTTACTTTTATTCATTCACTTATTCATTCATGCATGCATGTAAGCAAGAAACAAATATTTACCGATCAACTATTTGCTGCTTTGTACTGCAGAAGTAAAGAAGGGACTTGTTGCATGCTCCTCTATAATTAGAGCTGTGTGAATTTTCATAAATAATGTAATTACTTTGAGTTTCATCACCTGTAAAATTGGACAATAACCAATATCTACTTCATAGATTTGCTGTGCAGGTTAAATGGGATGAAAGGGGTCTACCTTCAAAAAAAATATATTAGTAGCCCTCTTCCCTGTAGGTCTCCCTAGAGATTAGGACATTTATCAGTGGTTCCCAACCTTTCTATGAAAAATCTCTCTTATTCTCCAAGGATTCTATGTCTTTAAAGATTTTTATCTACCAACTGCACTGACATTTTATTAGCCAGATAAGTAAAAGCTAATCAGAACTCTCACACTATCAGACATAAAAACTAATGAAACTTTGGCCAGGTGTGGTGGCTCATGCCTATAATCCTAGCACTCTGGGAGGCCAAGGCAGGATGATCACTTGAGCTCAGGAGTTTGAGATCAGCCTGCACAGGAGTGAGATCACATTTCTACTAAAAAGAGAAAAAATGAGCTGGGCCTGGTGGCAGGCACCTATAGTCCCAGCTACTTGAGAGGCTGAAGCAGCAGGATCTCTGGAGCCCAGGAGTTTGAGGTTGCTATGAGCTAGGCTGACGCCACAGCACTTTAGCCCCAGCAACAGAGCGAGAATCTGTCTCAAAAAAATAAATAAATAAAAAATAATGAAACTGAATGCTAGGTTCTTGAGAGGCAAGCACAATATTTTATTTCATTAACAACTTGCAAGTCACCACAATGTATAGCAATGATTTGAGGTAATTAGCCTCAAAGACTTGAGTCAATATAATTATTGGTTATACTGGTTGAGAAAAGATGCATAATATTTTACCTATATAAATCTATTTAGGGCAAATACACAATTTTCATAAGACTTTTTACAATATTAAAAATAATTCCTATATCTGCAGACTCATAGGAAATACATAATTTATGGATCATACATTAGTGATTTTAATGTCTACAAAAACTGGTTACCCTACAGATTCATTTCAAGTCAATAAAATTAGTAACACATCTTCAGATTTGAACATTACATATATTTATCGATAAAGAGAAGTAATGATATTCAGTGCTTCCCTTTACATTTATAAGAACAAAATCCAAACCCTTTACCATGGACATATGTGATTTGCTCCCTACTAACCTCATCTACTAGTCTCTTCCTAGCTTTGTGGTAACAAGTGTTTGTTATTCTTCAAACATGACTACCTACTTCCCACTTTAGGGTCTTTGCACCAACTGGGCCCTCTGACTGGTTCCTTCTTCTTGCAGGTGTGTAGTGTTTTGTCATTCAGGTCTCACATTAAATATCACCACCTCAGGGAGATTTTCCTCAACACTCCATAGCTCTATCATTTTATCTTGTTATAGTTTTTCCATGGCATTTGGGTCCTCTGAAAGGATTTTATTTACTTGTTTGTTTACTGTTTCTCTGTACTACCACCAACCCTTCACTGGTATAAAACGCTCCATGACAGCCCATCTTATTCACTGCTAAATCTCTGGTTCCTAGAATAGTACCAGACACCCAATTATCACTCAATAAATATTTGCTGGATGACTAACCAAACTGTTTAATATTATTTTTGGAGAATGACTTATTTCTTAGTCAAGAACTTATACTTAGCATTCAAAATTGCTGATTCAAAAGGAATAAGAAAAAAAAAACTTTCCATAAATAATAAAAATGTACATAATATTCTATTCAATCAGTGGGTTTCATTTTCTTTATTTTAAGCCTTTGGAAAGAAGGATATAAAAGTCTCTTCATGTTTCAGACTCTTCCTATGGCACATCATGTAAAAACTTGAATGAACTATCTTATAATATTATACCATGAACTGCTAGCTACTTATCTAACAATTTATTCTAGCGAAGATGTAAGCAGGTTTCTAAGAATGTAAGACATACAGAAAGGCCATCATAGCGACAGTGCCTGCCAGAATGGCCCAAATCAGGGAATATGCTGTTCTCTCAGTTATTGTTTGAGGGTGCTAGTAGGGGCACAGAAAGATAGCAATCAGTACTAGGAGAATGATTGTAGCTCTGATTTCTGTTGACAAATAGGCAGAAATGTCCTCAAACCTATCCAAAATAGACTCAAGGGAAGCTTACAATTTGTGACATTAAATCATTATTTTGAATAGTAAATGAACTTATCATTCAGTTGACCAGATGTGGGCTTTTGTAGTTTTGCAAAAGAAAAACACAGTATTTGTAAAAGAGTAACACACACAATCTCCAACTCTATTTGCTACATTTGTTTATTAATTTAAAAATATTTTCAAGGATACTTTAGAAGGGAAGAGATCTGAATAAAAATAACTAAGGACTTTATTTCTGAATTTAGATAATATTTGAAAACTAAAAAATGCTAAAATCTTGGAAGTATCACAGCCTAAATTTTTAAAAAATTGGGGGTTGCATCTTTTCTCAACTGAAAGATAGTGAGCAGATAATTCATAGCTCATATGAGTTTACTGATCAGTCAAAAAGAAATACTATTAATATCAATCTTTTTGCTACCTGGCTTGTATAATATTCAGCCAAGCAGAAAGTACAAGTAGAGACACAGAATGACTAAAAATGGCATCTACAAACTCATTTTTTTAAAATTAGGAAATTAAGGGGTAAGAAAAAGAACAAGAATACTAAAAGTAATATTTTTTTCTAAAGATCACATATTCAATATCCTATTTTTTGTTGCTCAATATTTCACTGCCTTTAATATTCGAAGCTGCTTAACAAACAAGAAGTCTATATTTCACTTCTTATCACTTCTGCTCATATAACTGGTATTTTTAAAGTCTAGCAGTAATCATGAATGTTATAAAAACCACATACAGAAGAATTTCACCTTACAGTTAAGAGTTTTAAGATAATACCTCCAGAAATACAAAGTTTAAAGTAAGGATTCCCTGTGTTAACCAAGAACTCAAAATGCTAACTAAATAAAATTTCTGCAGGAGAGTGTACATACGTTTAAAAAAAAAGGCATAAACATATGATTTTCATTGATGAAATGACAAGAATCTTTTATCCTTTCAATTAAAAAAAAAGGTAGTAACAACCAAAATGTACTGAGTCCTATCTTCTCCCAAAGGTTGCCTATGTGCATGTGGCCTAGATGGTAAACTCAGATTGTTTCTTTTAAATTAAATTTCCAAATTGGTTACACAGATCTTTACAAGGATGACTCCCAGCAACTGCCCCAAATCTTTCCCTCTTGTTTTCCATCAGACCTTCAGATTCTGCCTTACCTGTGTTATTAATCCATCCTCACTGTCTTCAGTCTCTTCCTCAATTCATTCTGTACTACACTATAACCAAATTCCTCTTACTTTTGATGAACACTCTTATCAAGTCATTGTCCTCATACCAAAACTTCCTGTGATCTTTAATAAAGTTTATACCAAGCATTCAATAACTTACAGTGTCTAGCCCCAATCAATATGTATGGTTTCATCTCCATTATTTTCTAACTATACAAAAGCCTCGGTTCTGTCAAACCAATCTCCTGTCATCCACCTACACCCAGCTACTTTTTATCTTGGCACATGCCATTTCTGCCACAAAGAACATCCACCATTCCCCTCCCTCTGCCATTGCTCACCACAGCCCATTTGCATCTCTGTATTTATTCATGTAAACAAGGACACAAAAATGAGATATTTCCTTCCCTCTAGGAGACCAGAAGAAAAAATAAATTTAACAAAAACAGATTTTATTAAATACCTACTGTGGGCCAAGCTCCCTTACACATTATTTCTAATCCTGTCAACAATCCTTTGAAGTAGGTATTATCATTCTCCTTTTAAAGATAAGAAAGCTAAGGTAGAAACATCAAATCATATATGTATTTAGTAAATTGCCTCAAATCATGTACTTAGTAAGTGGCAAAGCAAGTATGTGAACCCAGACTGCCCAATTCCAGAGTCATTGCTCTAAACATTAACAGTTACTCAATTTTTTTAAAAGTCAGAACCATGTGACTACCCACCTTATCTATCTGAAATAATTAGTTTCACATTATATTTCTACTTATTGCATACTATATAACATGCTTTCTCACGCTTGTAGTTTTAGTAAAAGAAGAACATTGAAATTCTATCTCTCAAAAAAAAGAATAATGCTCAAATTGCAACTTCGATCCAATATCTTTTGTCACAAAGATTACTTTTACCGAAAATATTTTTAAAGACACTCTTTCCAATCAACTTTTTGGAAGACACTGCAAATTACTAGTCATATACTATGAAGGTTTTACAGATTATTAATAATATGAGGAGTTTGTGATTACCACCCCAAAAATGTAACAGATATCTATCAAATTGGCAAAGATTATAAAAACTGACCTACTCAATGCCATTGAAGGTGCAGTGAGACACACACTCTTATACACAGGGTAATCACCCTCTGATCCAGTTATCCCACTTCTGGGAATCTATCCTATAGGAAGAAAAAAAAAACAGAGATGCAATCAAAGATAAATGTACAAAAATGTTTGCCCCAGTGTTATTTAAGATAGTCATATTATAAAGAATCAACCTTAAAGTCCCACACCAGGAGACCAACATCCCATTCCGGGAAAAGAGGTAAGATAGAAACAGTATATATAAAGGTATAATTCCAATTTTTGTAAAAAATTTAAAAATTTGTACATGCAAGGAAAGAATTGGAAAAATATATATTAAAATGTTAGCAATAATCTCTTGATGATGGGATCATAGACAGTTTTCAATTTCTTCTTTATACTTATGTTCTTTTCAAAATTTTTCACAATGTAACATGAAATACTTTAAAACAGAAAAAAAAATGTTTAAGCAGTCATAGTCACTGAAAGTGATCTGGAACCTAACAAGGACATATTAGTTGGAATAGGAACTATATTTCCTAGTGCAAAGAAAACCTCAGATTTGTTTCCACCTTCTACTGTGTTCGTGTTTACTTTCTGATTGTGTAAAGGATGTCATCCAAAACTCAGTAATACCTCTATTTACAAAAGTACAAGGCCCACTATCTAAAAGTCAGCCAATGTGCCAAAAGCAAGCATCGCAGTTAAGTGGACTGAAAACTATATACATCTATTCAGAATAATAAATGTCTAATTAATCCTAACTCAAAACATGCAAAATGGAAAAAACAGAAAAACTATTCTCATTTTGTGAACTAACTAAATATTCTATTGTTGCCTTACAAGCACATCATAATTAGGTCTGGAGTGGGAAGGAACTTAAAAATAAAACTGGCAAGCTACCAACATTCATTAAAAATGCACATTGGTGCATTTTATCTATTTGTACATTTGTGTCCTAGCTGATAGTTAACTTTAGAGTCACAGGATGACTTTAATCAGTGTAGAAAAAATATTAACAAGCTGTTCTACAAAAAAAGTCCCACAGAATTAAAATTGCTAGCTAAACAAGGAAACAACTTCCCTACAATGTGACTAAGTATATACGTGTGTATGCGCATGCAAAAGAATAATTTACCAAAAAATATGTCTTGGACTGAAATAAAATATGCAGTAAAGCAAATAGTTTTTATTTTACTATGTTTTAAACAACTGGGAAACTGATTTGCTCTAATACTAAGGAGCTATTAGAAAATAAGACCACAGAAATAACTGTTCAACAACTAAAGGGGAACTTAAAATAGTCACATTAACTTTACTTAGAATATGAATATCATTTTACCTTTATTCTATCATGAAAATGCATTTATTTACAAAACATATGTAAGGCTCTAGCAAACAAATTACTAGACTATAAGTTCCTTTTTTTTTTTTTTTGAGACAGTCTCACTCTGTTGCCCAGGCTAGAGTGAGTGCCGTCAGCCTAGCTCACAGCAACCTCAAACTCCTGGTCTCAAGGGATCCTCCTGCCTCAGCCTCCCAAGTAGCTGGGACTACAGGCATGTACCACCATGCTCGGCTATTTTTTCTATATATTTTTAGTTGTCCAATTAATTTCTTTCTATTTATGGTAGAGATGGGGTCTCGCTCTTGCTCAGGCTGGTTTCGAACTCCTGACCTTGAGCGACCCTCCTGCCTGGGCCTCTCAGAGTGCTAGGATTACAGGCGTGAGCCACTGCGCCCGGCCTAGACTATAAATTCCTTAAAGCAGCATCAAAGAGCCTAATTTTGGGTCACTCAGAACATCTGTTCCAAGATTGAATCTGAAATCTATTAATGAAATTATGCAACATTTCCACAAGCATACAATGGGATTTAAAGGGCAGTTTCAAAGCCATCAATAGATTTGGGACAGATGTAAACTACATAAAATTCAAAGATTAGTGTTGACTTTTGAATTCTACAATAATTAACTTCGTGGTTCTTACTTAATGTTTTATAATATAGCCAACTTATGTAGAACAGAATGATCCTATTTATAAATGAATTTTAAAATACAGTGAATAAATTTACTCTCCAAATTACACGTGACATAACTGAAATGTACAGTCTGCAATAAGAGATTTCCTACTGCTAACTTAGAGTCATGCAATCTGCATTTGGGATTTGTCCAAATAGTTGCATCCAGTTCTTCACACCTCTCTTTATAAGTTTTTCTTTGATAGCTAAACCACAGTCTATCATGAGCAAAATTATTTTGTATATCCAGAATAAGTGGGTAATATCATAGAATGACAAAAAAACATGAATAACACAGGTGTATATACTTGTGAGTTTAACATAGGGTGTTTCAAGTTTTAATTAATCCAAGAGTATCTTTTATCAAGGTATTTGTAGTTCAGTATATTCCTGTTCTTTTGAAATGTGGCCTAATTTAAATATATTCTGAGACCAATCATAGGATTATACATTTAATTTTAAATTGGGTTAACTTTAACACTCCACACATTGACCCACTCTCTACCAATGTGAAGTAAACAGGCTAGAGATAGGAAACACTGAGAAAACTGGAGTGATTTATAAAGAATTTTTTCAGACTTATATAGCCTAAATAAATCATTAGTGTTTTTAAAAAAGCCATTAACTTGTCTATGATTGAAATTTATTTCATAAAACATATTAATCTTCCATGTATACATATATCATGCACTTCTGAAAATTATATTAAAAGGATTATTTTTAGGCCACTTATAAAAGCTGACTATTTCCTGTTTCAACTCTACCTTAATAATCACACACAATTTCCTTTTTTTATTGGGGGGGGTGTATGTGCATGCTTGTACCTTCTACCTCTAAATGGCCTATTTTCAAGCGGAAATGAGAGCATGGCACAGTTCTCTGTTGAGCTGCTTTGTTGATCAGAACATCATGATAATGAACAAAGCTAAGCTTATAGGTTCAATACTCATCTGGATCATTTAACTTTAAAACAAACTGCCCTCTCAACCAGTCATCTCAAAATTGTGTGCCAAGGGGACTGGAAGAGTGTGAATCATTCAGTGCAAACCCACACTATTATAATAAAAAAAATCAAAATGTAAACGGACCAATATTATCTTTGTATATGAAAGACTGAAAAACACATTAAAACTATCACTTGTAATCCCAAATTTCATTAACACAAAAAAGGGGAAAAAGAAGAAAAAAAATGGATGATTCATCTGTCTTGGTAACATACGAAAGCCTAAATATTTTTGTTTAATGCTAAACATTTTTTACAAGATGTGAATTTGGCATTAAGTCACGCAAAAACTATGTGATATCAGAATGAGCAAAAAATACTTGGAGATATGCCATAACTCTTTTACAACTAATTAATTGTAATCAATTAATTATTATAATTGATTCCTTTAATTGGAAAGGAAACATTAGGGGGAAGTAAGCTTAGGTTCACAATTTCAAATGCACCACAATATTAAAAGATAAATGCTTTATATGAGTTATTTTTATTGAATATCTAAAATAAGACAATTTTAGAACTGGTAGCTTAGAAGTTATCTGAGGTTCAATGAACATTTACTGTGTCCTTAGCACATATCAGACACAGAGCTATGTGCTTTCAGGTGACTCAATTAGTTCTACCTGCTCCTTTTTATAGATTTTGAAGCTCCCTGCTTATGCCAAATCAAGCCTTCTAGGTTTCAGAACCAGAAATGCTGAACAAAGCCCTCACAGTGGTATAATTTTCTATCAAAGCAGACTGGTATCATCCTCCCCTAAACTAAATAAAGTTTCAAAGATGCAATGCCGACCTTATTTAACAAAAACAATAGTCTCTGTTTTCTGAATAACTATGAAGAATTTCAACAACTTGAAAATTCAACTATGAGAGTCTTCAACTAAGTACCTGTTGCATAATTTATTGCAAAGAACAAAACATGGGACTCTTAGCTATAGATTCTAAAATCATACAAAACAGAAATTAAGTAAATTACAAGATGCCATTAAAAATTCCTGGTAATGCTGGTAGTTTTCATGTGTGAAAAAAAAAAATTCCTTTGTAAAAAATAAACAACAGTGATTACCCATATAAAAAATTGGCTGCCTACCTGAAATACCTATTTTATATAAAGGATCATCAACCATATACCAACAAAGTTCATAAGTAACAGTAAACATTGGCTAGATCTGGAGTTATTTAACTATTACATATTACCACAGACTGTAAAACTCCTTGAGGGCAGAAACCCTGCCTAATTCATCACTGTATCCAATAATTAGCACCCTGTTGTTAAATGTTGGAGAGAGGTGAGCTAACATATGAACTCTAAATGTAAGCTATTGAAAAATTCAACCTAACAATCTAAAAGATTTCTTTTTATGGCTGAAATTATGTTTTAAGTACTAAATAATAATACCTAATGCAAATGACATTAACATGAAATTTATGCTCAACAACTGTGGCTGCCAAAACTAGTATAACCTACTCTTTTGAGGCAATTCAGATATACACCAGAAGACAAGTATATTCATACACTTTTTTTTTTTTTTAAGAATTCATACACTTTGATCCAGTAGTCCTTCTGGAAATGAATCCTAAGGAAATATTCCAAAAGAAAGAAAATGTTGCATATGCATGTGTTCACTTTATTATTTTAATAAAGAAGGGTAATCTGTTATTGAGTTAGAGAAAAAAAAAATAAAGGAGGGAAAAAAGAAACTACTATACGTCCAATAGCAGAAGGGTAGATAGACTATTTTGTAATCACTGAAAAAGGCTAGAAATGAAGACTATTAATCTCCTAATTGGTCTTCCTGCTTCCACTCTTGCCCCTCTCCACCCCAAGTTGATTTCCACACAGCAGCCAAAATCATGCTCACAAACTTAAGTCAGAACAAGTCGCTTTTCTACTCAAAACCTTCCAGTGGTTTCTCATCTCATCCAAAGTAAAATCCAAAGTTCTTACCAGCGTCTACAAGCCTTACAGTGGCCCCAGATACTTTTCTAACCTCAAGACCTCTCTCACTTTCCCTCTTGCTTACTGTCCTCCAACCACACTGGCCTCCTAGCTGTTCTCAAAAAGCCCAAGTACACTCAGGTGTCTGCACTTGCAGTCCTCTCTGCCTGTAACCTTCTTCCCCAAAGACAGTACGCATCCCTAACTTCCTGTAGGTCCCCGCTCCAGTCTCAGGTCTTCCCTGACTACCCTGCCACTTTTTCTCTTTCTATCCCCACCCTAGTCTTTTGGATATCTCTTATCACCTGACATATTCTATATTTGGTTATGGCCTGTCTCTCCTGATTAGAATACAAGCTCTATGATAGCAAGGACTTTGTTTTATTCACATAGTAGGCATTCAGTAAGTGCTTGCTGAATCAATATTGAATGCTGATATGATAATTATTAAGTACATGAAAAACCTTTTATATGAATAAGCTTGAAAAGGAAAAATGGACAGTCTGATTTGTGAACATTTTCAAATGCTGATCATATTACTAAAAAGTAGTTTGTAAAATAAAAAACCCTAAGTCGGTTGTGATTATGATTTTAAGCAGCCAAAAGTTACTAGAAAAATCTTGTTCTCAAAGACCCAAAGTTTAGTCTTTAAATGTATATACTGTCATTCCTGAGCCTATACAAAGAATGAACAAAGACTTTTGAACAGTTTTAATATGAAACTCAGGGATTCCAATTCACTTGTAAGACAGGTGTCTTTGGTTGGCTTCAGAGGGTCCCTAAAACTGAATGCAAAATTTTGTGCATAAATATCTATTAACTTTTTTTTCTGGAGAGAGTTCATATATTTCATCATATTTTCAAAGGTGTTAGTGGCCTAAAAATGGTTAAGAACTACCATTTTATATATTGGAAGTGAAATGTAATATTCTAATTTAAGGTTTCTCTCAAAAAGAAGATATACAATATCTAGACATCTTTATAATCATTAAATTCATTAAATAGTGAACATGTATGATCCTCAAAACCTTATACCTACTTGTATGGGAAACAGAACATAATTCAAAATACCAAGGAAATAAGATTCATTGAAACACCACACTAAAAAATATCAAACAATATAAACATAATTCCAAGCCTAAATATGTTATAGGGAAGCATAGCACAGACAGAAAGAAGTCTAGGGGCTTAATTTAGCACTTATTATGTCTAAGTATCACAGAAACCAATTACATCAAAAGAAAAGAAAAACTACCCATACACATATCCACTCCCACACATTCTGACAGGAAACCCAAAGAAAGTTTCCAAATCCTGTTTCCAGCAGCATCTCTTTTGAGACTGCCTGTCAGCAAGCTTTTGAAGGTAGGAGCCCCAAGTTTTAAGAGCTGATACTTTATTCTTAATGTAATAAAAACATCAAGAATCATCATCTGCCACCCAAGAAGCAGAAAACAGTGTTTACCTGTAAGGCTGTGGCCCATTAATCTTTTGCCTTGTTATTCCATTTCATTTTTTATTCCCTCCTCCCTTCAAAGTGGTGACAAAATTTTCCCTCCCAAAAAGGAATACATTACTCCTCAATGCTAGTTCTTTTTCCAAGAGGTCAAAGGTCCCCTAAACTCTGGTTCTCAGCCCTATGAGGAGATCCCATTTTTCAGATACAAATGTCTTCCTCTCATCTTCTCCCCAGAGCAATACATTACACAATTCAACTGAAGACACCGTCCTTAACTTCCTGAGGGGGAAAGTGACACTTCTACCAACCCTAGTTTGAGGGAAAAGGCGAATCACACAGTGACCTCCTCCCTAACAAAACTGAGGGAAGCAGCAGAGACCCAAGAAAAGCAACAGCCGAAAAGGCGAACACATGGCATGTTACAGAAGAGCTGGGGTAAAGAGGGCGGGAAAGGGGCTGGAAAGTGGAGTAGGATGTAAAGATGTCAGCCCTACCCACTGGGGGAATAAAGGGAGAAAAGGGAGACCGTGAACTCTGACAGAAGTGAACATGCAGAGGGCAACGCTCCAGTCTACACCCGTACCTCTCTAGCAGGGGACAGAGGACAGGAAATTCACCTAAGCCTCCAATTTCCTCCTCGTGTGCCCCCAAAACGGAGAGCTGGGTTTGAAGGAAGCTCTGACCCCAGTCTGGGGACATGCAAGAGGAGGAGAAAGGCAGAGATGTCCAATCTTCCACATCTCTCAGGCAGTGAGGGGCGAGGGCACTGTGTCCGGGGAGATGGCGAAGGAAACGGGCTTGTGCTATGACACCTCGGGGAGTAGGAGGGTGGGGGACACAATGTCCTCTTTCTCTCCCACAGCCGGCCCGGGCCCCTCCCGACTGCCTCCCGCAGGCCCAGCCACAGTCAACCGGCTCGGTCCGCGGGCGTGGTTGGCTCTGGCCCTGGAGGCGGCCGGGCCTTCCTAAGCCCCGGCCCCTCCCGCCGGCCAGGCCCCCGGGCCGCCGCCCCGGACACCGAGGGAACGCGGAGGAGGAAGGGGGAGCCAGGGGACTGACCAGCGACACGAGCCGCCTCAGCCCCGGCTCGGCCGACCCGCGCCCCCTGCTCCCTCTGGGGCCGGCTGGGGCTCTCCGCCCCTCACTCACCCCCTGGGTCCGGCGCCTCCTCCACCTCCTCCTCCTCCTCCTCCCTCCTCTCGGCCGTGGCTCCTGCTCCGGCTCTGCGCGGCGACGGCAGCAGCGGCGGCCTCGGGAGCGGCGGCGGCGCCTCCAGAACGCGCACGCACGCAGCACGCAGGCCCCGCCCCCTAGTTCCACCCCGCCTCTCCGAGTCGGCGTCGGCGAGGCCTCGGCCCCGCCTTCGCCGTGGAGTTGGGGAGTTCGCTTAAAGGAGCCGCGTAGGAAGGGGTGGGGCGAGCCGAGAACTACTGGGAAAGGAACGGGAAGTTTCGGCTTTGCAGAGGGCGGAATAGGGGGTGTGTAAGGCCAGAAATGGAATGAGGAGGTGTCCAAAGATTCAGGAGGAATAGAATTTGGAGGGAACGCAACCATTGGACAAGTACTAATTGAGCACCTACTAGGTAGCAGGCACTGTACTAGGTGCAGGGGATAAAGCCATAGAGACAAGCAAAGGCCTTCATGGAGTTTGCATTCTAGTGGGGTGGGAGAGGGAGACAGACCACAAACAAGTGACAAAAGTTGCAGATAATGGTAACTGGTGTGGAGAAAAATAAAGCAGGGGATAAGATGACTCTATAGCTGGTTAGATGTTACTTTTCAAAGAAGACCTTTGAGCGCATACATGCATGATATGAAGGAATAAGCCTAGCAAACACCGGGGCAGGCTAGAAACTGCATTTCCAGGCAGAGAGAAAATCAGGCTGGGGGTTGGGGGGGCATGCACCTACCTTGTTTCTGGAACATCGAAAGGCCAGCTAGTATGGCTGAGCATAGTCAGTTAGCCAGAGAGCAATGTATAGTAGTTAGAGAGGTGAGAGGTCGGCAAGTGGCCAGATCCTGTGGAGCCTGAGCCATTATAAGAACAACTGGAAGCAAAGGGAGGAGGGTGAGCCAAGGAATGACCACATCAGATACATTTTTAAAAATTAGTCTTGCTGATGTGTGTCAAATAAACAACAGGGAAGCACAGATGTCAGGAGGGAGACACAGTTAAGAAAGCTGTTCATAATAGCTTGGACTAACTAGGATGGCAGCCACTTACAGGATGAGAAGAGAGCTATTATATTTTATTTTTTAAAGACACATTTTGATTAGAATCCATTTGGATTTGGGGGACAGTGTGTGAAGGAACAAAAAGATTATGGATGGTTCTTAATTTCAGGGCTTGATGACTAGGTTAAGTTGGTGCCATTCAATGAGATGGAGAAGCAAATCTAGGGTGGGGGAAACCAAGAATTCTGTTTTGGATGTGTTATGTTTAAGATGTCTGTTATACATTCAAGTGGAGATGTGGAGTAAACAATTGGATATGTGAGTCTAGAGATCTAAATTTGGGATTCATCACCATATAGATGCTTTTTAAGCCTTAGGTCTACTTAGGCTCACTTAGGGAGTGGGAGTAGCTGGAGGAGAGGACCACACTTGGAGGTTAAGTATAAGAGAAAAGGAGTTACCAGTCAGGTAGGAGAAACACCAAGAGAGGGGTGGAGTGTTGAAAGAGAATTGTTTCAGGAAGGAAGGCATGATCAGTCTTATCAGATACTATTGAAATAAAAAGAGGACTGAGACTTTGAACACTGGATTTTGCCTGATCAAAGTTGCTGATGACTTTCATGAAAACAGTTTCAGTGGAGTCATAGGGGAGAAAGTCTGATAAGGATGTGTTAAGAGAATGGGAGGTGAAGAAGACAAATGATTTATACCAAGTCTATACAGCTCTTGAGGAGCTTTGCTTTAAAGAGCAACTGAGAAATGGGCAGTAGCCAGAGGGTACTTGGGATCAAAGGAGGATATTATAAGATGGAAAATGCTTCCTCACATTGGTATCTTGGAATGACCCTTTAGAGATGTAAAGTTGATGATGCAGAAGACAGGAGGAGAAAACTGGAGAAAGATTATCCCCAAGTAAATGAGAAGCATTGGGACCTAGCACAGAAGTGAAGGGGTTGGCCTTGAATAGGAGCAAGGACAGTGTGTTCACACACTATTTTTGGAGAGAAAGTAGAGTGTATGGGTGCAGATGCAGGTAGATCAAGCAGTACATTTGCTGGTGGCATGCTCAGGCCCCTGCAAAGCACAAGGGGAAGGTGGGGGGCCGAAATTCAGGCCTTGTTTTCCCCACCAAGCTGTGTGCCCTGGTGGGGCCACATCAGTCTAGAGCAGGCGTCCTCAAACTACGGCCCTTGGGCCACATGTGGGCGGCCTAGCACATTTATCCAGCCCTCTGGGTGTTTTTGCCACTGCTGCCTGTCCTGCTTAGCAGCTGACTTGTCCGGAGCCCACAGTGGGCACTCTCCAATGGTCTCAGGGACAGTGAACTGGCCCCCTGTTTAAAATGTTTCAGGACCCCTGGTCTAGAGGAAGGGGTACTTTTCTAATTGATCCACCTCTAGGGGTGGTGCTTTTTAGCAGTCCAACATACAACACGCTGTATCTATGCACGTTTCCCCAATTCGCCCTGAGGACTTACTGGGATGGATGAGGTAAGATCTGGTCTGTGTGCTTTCCTTTACTCTGTGCAGTGCACAAGCCGTGAGTGGGCAGAGGCTGTTGGCTATTTAAGGAGATAGAAGAAGGTGAGAAATAATATCCTAGAAGAGTGGAAGAGTGACTAGAGAAGTGTAGTGTGGACAACACTGAGGGCCCTCTGGAGTTGAAACCACTCAGCAAGGTTGAGTGAGTCCCCTCCAGCTACACTCCAGTGCCTGGGGGTTGGAGAATTGTATTTGACGGATGAAAGTCCACCAGAGGAGTAGGAGTATTACGCCAGGGAGTGACTATGGTGGTAGACCTTGAAGAAATCTAGGTTGGAAGGAGAGAGATCAAGGAAAAACGTGGTGAGATGATGGTTTGGTGGTCCCTGAGGGAAGGAATAGCTGGAGAGGAAGCAATCAAGTAAATGAGGGCAAGGGGATTTTCCAAGGATTGAGCATGGGGAAGGGTGAGTGAGGTGGTTCCGGGAGAGGAAGTACACAGTGTCTGTGAGAAAAAAGGGTTTAGGCTGGCAACCAGGAACTAAGGAAACAGCAAAGCCCTGGGGCAGGCCTCGGCACAGTGTATGTGAGCCATTGGCCCAGTGAGGTCAAAGGAGCTGGATTGCCCACCTGTCCGTCTTCAGAGAGCCACACAAATGGTGGGGGGGGACCTGAGTGCAGGAGGGGATAAACAAATTAGGTCCTGCTGGGGCTCTGTTACAAACTTTGATAGAGCTCAGTGGGTGCTTTGCTTTTCCCACCCTTTCCTTTTGCCATGGACACCCAGGCATTTGTGTAGGCATTTTATTTTGCCAAAAACTAAATTGACACCTTTCTTCCTAAACCCAGCTCTTCCTCCTCCTGGATTCCCTTTTTCTGCCCATGACACTACCTTTCTCAGTCAGCTGCCAAGCCTCAGTATCCTGTAATCTTTCTTCTTCATCTATGCCCAATTAGTCCCCAGAGTGTAGCGAGCTGATCCAATAGAATGTTCCCCCATGATGGAAATGATCTTTTTCTGCACAGTGCAATACAGTAGTCACATGAGGCTATTGAGCACTTGCAATGTGGCTAATGGGACTGAGGAACTGAATTTTAAATCTTACTTCATTTTAATTAAATTTAGATTTAAATACCCACACATGGCTATTGTATTAGACTGCACAGGTATAGATACTGTACTTCCTACACAATGGTTCTTCCATCTGCCCTTACCTCTCTATCTCCAACCAGAGGTGGTGAACCTGTGGCCTTGGGGCCACATGTGGCCCTCCAGGTCCCCAAATGCAGCCCCTTGACCGAATCCAAACTTCATTAAACTTTATTAAAACTTTATTAAAAGGATTTGTTCTATAAAATTTGGATTCAGTCAAAAGGCCACACTCAAGGATCCAGAAGGCCACATGTGGCCCCAAAGCCCGAGGTTCCCCACTCCTGCTGGGCAGGCAGCCCTTCAATCCATCTTGTGTTCTTGCCAGACTATCTTCCTAAAGCAGTGACCAGATCATGACTTCACTTTGTTTTTAATTAATTAATTAACTAACATTCATTTTGGACCACCTTGTTTTAAAAATGATGACTAGTTCTCCATCAAATTAAATACAAACTACTCAATCTACCACTCTCCATCCTACTTTTCCAGACTTACCTTTCAGTACACCTTTACATATCTGTTGAACTACTTGCTGTAATTCCTACCAACTTTTTACAAAAAAGCCAACTCATTAAATTGTCTCTCTGCCTGCAATAAATGCCTCCCATTCCCTTCACCAAAACTAAAACCTGTTGAAATCGTTGTAAGTTTGGCTCACATTGCAGCTCCTAACTGGAGCCCTCCTCTAAAGTCCTATGGTTTCCATTTGTACCTCATCTGTGGCACTTATACGCTGCCTTGTAGTATATTTGTGCATTCATTTTATTCCCATTACTAAATATTGCTCCTTGCAGGTCACTGAGTTTTAATTATGTTAGTGCCCCTTGCAGTGTAAGTCTTGCACCTTATAAAATGATGTACTCCTAAAATAGCCACTGAATTGAGATAAACACTTTCTTGAAGTCTGTAGAACACTTATTCCCCTGTCTAACTCTAATATTAATAGTAACATCACTAATCCTCAAAGAGAAAGTCTTTATACCCTTTAAGAAACTTTTCTAGCATGAATATCACAGTTTTGAAGAGAAACAGATTAATTATATTTGTTTTTCATGTTACTGTTGGCTGAGAATCTCTTCCAAATGCTTCCCAAATTTAGGATACTCACACTACTCAGTTATAGTTTGCAATCCTAGAGAATGTGGGTATTCGTAGAACTGGCAGGACCAGCATAGCTACTGCTAGGATCAATTTATGGAAAAGGGCTTTAAGAAGCATTCAGATTGTGACACAATCTATAAAAAGAGGCTTCCATCTAATAAATGTTTAGAAAATGTATTTTTAGACCTTGAACTGTTAGAAACCTGTAACCCAAGAGTAGAATTTTATATGCTATGCAATACCTAATGTACCTTTCCTATTGGAGCAGTGAATTTTAAAGATTGGAAGAGCAAGTATAATATTTTTTAAAAATGTACTTCACGCATATAGGACCTTATGCACATTTATTCAACAAACCTTAACTGAGG